CAGCCCATGAAAAATACATGAAGAGTCCCTCGCTCTTTCTCCCCACGGCTTCATAAATCTTGCATTGCTTTCTGCATGGCAGCTCGGCTTCATGGGGTGATGGGGAGCAGCTTCCTCGCTGCTCCTGCCCTGGGGCCGCAGCATCCTCCGGGGATGCCAGCACTACAGGCTCGAACCTTGCCAGGCTGGCAGAGGAGGAGGGGGTTCAGAGCCCCCCCAGCCCCGTTTTTAGGTTATTGGATAGGAAGAATAAGGCAGAGGTGCTGTTTTGCTGCCCTGCAATGTCGCCAACACTGGGGTCATCTTGCTTTGCAGTTTGTTTAGGGTTTACTGAAAACAAGAGTGATGCAGAGAATATTACCCTGTTCACGGCTTGTTAAGCATCCTCAAGAGTTGGCATTCACGACTGGAGATGCAGCTGCACATTTATTACAGGGGCCGGCCGGAGGCTATGCAGAAGAACCACCCAAAAAATAAGTCAGGCACATGCTTAAGGACCCGCTTTGCAGGTAAAGCACCTTACCTTTCTGAGCAGGTAAATTTATTAGTCGGCAGCCACAGAGTGCAAGCGTCTCTTCTCACACTGAGCCCAGTGGCGGAAAATAATAAGCAAACCCTGATTCGAGATTTGTGTAAGGGCTGGTCCCAAAACAAGGCAGGCACAAAGGCTCCAGGAAATTGCCTAATTCCTTAGTTCTCACTTCAAATGGAGCGTTATGGAAGGAGTTTGCAGCCAGCGCTCATCTTTACTGGCAGCAGTAGCAAGTTTTGTCCATTTGCATCCTAATCCCCTTCTCCCTCCCACTCATGCTGGCTGAGGAACAGGGACAGGAGGCAGCAGCTCTCATGGACGTGTCTTCATGAGGGCACCATCCCTATTCCTATGGCAGCTGAAGTCAGGGAGACCTTGTTAAACACCCTTATTCCTCAAGATTTTCATTTGCCTTCTTTAATTTTTTGGCGTTGAAGCTGCTAGAGGTGGTGAGCCTTCCCATTTTCCCCATGAGCCCAGCCTCGGCTGTCCGATGCCTCCCCATCACCTGCAAAGCTATTTCACTTTCAGCTTCTCTACAGAAGTTTCCCCATTTTTCTGTTTTCCCCTTAGCAGGCTCTCTGCCTCCACGAAGCTATCAAGGATGCTGCCTACATGGGGCGAGCTAATATTGGTTTTTCCCCTGTCCTCAGAGCCCCTCTGATCCCTCCTAGCGTCTGTCGCCATCGTGGTCCAGCAGCAGACGACCCTGGCCTGAATAAGAAAACACTGCATGGGGACTGGCACGTCAATCCAGAGAGATTTTATGTGAGTTGCTGACAACCTCAGTTTGCTAACCCAATTGACCTTGTGCTCCCTTTAATATATCAAGCGGCGTTCCTCCGCCATCCCAGCCCACCATGCTTTTCCTGGCCAGGGTATGAGCGTACCACCCATCATCTGCCGCGGCTTCCCATGACATTGGCAGAACCAGCATCCTCATCTGCAGCTCTCCCCTTTGTCCTCCAGCAGCAGTCATCTCGCAGGAGCCAGAAGATGCTGGCTGCCCACCACTGCCTCTGTTAGACCTTTCCCAGGCCGATCTTTTCCCCCTCGCCCCTCGGCCTTTCCCACCTGTGGCTTTTCTCACCTCTCTTTAAGGCTGGCCCGTGCCCCTTTGCAGCATGAGGCTGCCCCCAAATCCATGGGGCAGGGGAGGAATGGGGTTGGGGATGTGGTGGCGGGTGCTCCGGCTGGCCATGGGTCTGCTGGGGTCTCCCACCCAAAAAAATCAGAGAAAAAGAGAATCAGTTCTTGGGGAGGGGGGGGAATCACAAAAATTTGGTACTTCTGAGGGATGGGGGAATGGCATGGCCAGGGCCTGCTCTAGAGCTCGGTTGGTTCAGCAGGTGCTTTGCCCCACAAACCAGACTAAAAAGCAGATTTTTTCCCCCCAAAATAAAAAGAGGAAAGAGTGAACAGCTTGTAACAAGATAGGATGCCTTCATATGGGGTCTATATGTCTTTCTCGTCCCAGAGGCCCCTCTCTCCTCCAGGGACCACAAGATTAGCACCAAGTCTGTTTAGGAGAGAAAAAAATAAAGAGAATTTATTTCCTTTCCAAGGGGGAAAATCCTGATGCTTTGTGGAAAGCCAAGGGGGCACGCGTGCGTGTGATCCACAACTGGATGTCACTGTTAGTCAAAGGTTTTTATTTTTATGAAAAAATAGAAAATTTCATATCTTACACTACAAAAAAACCCATGTACACAAACAAAATGCACAGAGAGCATCCAAGGAGGTGGGGGGGAAGGGGAGGAATAAATACAGCAATGCTACAGTCTCCTATGAGATAAAACGCCGATGCGAGGAGCTGAGACAGATGCTGCGGCTCTGGCAGCGCGGGATGCACCAGCTCCCGCCCTACCTGCCCTAAGGAATTACAATAAAGGATTGGAAACTAAGCGTTACTCTTAAGACTGCTACTGATGTATCTTACATACACCTTAACGACTAATTTCAAGACCACAGCAGTCCAAGGAGTCACAATTTCTTGACCACTGGGACTTTCTACATTATATTCAACACTGAATAGACAAAACAAATTTTTACCTTCATTTTTTGTTCTTCTCGCCATTAACATATAGAAGGAATAAATAAAATTTTGAACTGATTTTTTTCTTTTTTCTTTTAAATCAGTCTTCCTTTTTTATGCTCAGGTAATTTTTCCAAATGGTAGCTACACAATGAAAGGGGGTCAGTTTACACAAGCCATGCTGGGGACACTTCCTTCTCCCAAAAGGAAAAACTATATCGAGAAGAGCCTTTTCACCTCCCAGATCCTTTGAAATACCTTCCTCGCAATTAGCAGCAAAATATACCGGGGAAAAAAGTATTTGTTGGATCAGCCGCAGCAGTAGTGAGCTGGAAAAGCAAAGCGCTCGGACTTAACCGTAGGCAGGAAATCCACCTACGGCCCTTACAAAGAGCATAAGCAGTAAAATATTACTGTCATCTCGTTCTGCTGCACCCCAATATATACAATCATGCCCAAAATACAGAGTACTTGCAGTTCTTGGATGGGAACTGAAAACCTCCGTTGTCTCTGGAATTTGCTTGTGGACATAGAAGCTGTAACTTTTGGACCCTACTCATTAAAACACCATTTTATTTTCTTTTTAGCTCCAAAACAAAGCCTATTATACAGAGATCTGTAGCAAGAACAGCTCTTGAAATAAATAGAAAAGGTTATTTATTTATTTATTGGAGGAACCAAGAAGAGGTGCCCTATTTACAAACGCAGTCTGGCTTAAGAACAGTTTGTTTTCCCACTAGTTCATCATTTTGAAGGTTACTCCAGCATCTGGTATGCATCCCAGCCACACCGCATACGCCTTTAAAACCCCACAAATGGTGAAAAGGGGATTTTGCTGTTAAAAGTCTATGAAAAAAGACCAAACCCAACTCATCCCGCAGAGCCAACAGGTAAGGAATGAGCGGAGATGAAAGGCAGAAAGTGCTGCATATTTGCTAATAGCATCTCTCTCGGTGCGGCCGACGGGTGCGGGCGGCAACCGAACGATTCCTCCCGACGAAACGAGTTGTTTCTGTCTTCCTACGGGTTATTTTCCCAAGTGCTGCAGGCGGGGAGGCACAAATAATCCCAAGACTGTTCTGCTGACAGCTCTAATAATCTTATTTATTATATGACAAATCTCTTTTCTGTGCTGAAATTGTTATGACTTGATTCCCCCCTCCTCTCTTGAGGTCCGGTGGCTGCCAAAATGAAACAACAGGATGAGAAATCACACCATCAAGATTTGTCAGACCTCGCCGCAGCTCCTCTCCCTCCTATTTCTCCCGATTCCTGAGGAGCTCGGCAGCAGCTCACAGAGGAGGAAGCCATTTCAGAACAGGCAAATATTGCCTGAAGAAGCCCTGCTGAAAGCAAAGCCCTGCTGCTAAGAAAAAAACCACCCAATCCTCTCCTCCTAGACTTTTCCTTTTTCTTTAGAAACCATTCTTTGTATCAAATCTCATCCAAAGGCTTGGGGGAAATGGAAGACCAACCTTTGAAACAGCTGAAGGTGGCACTCGACACCTGCTTCTGCAAGACATGAAGGACACAGGCCTCCTTTCGGCACTGGATGGGCTCCTCGGGCTTGACTCTGCAGTGCCGGGGACGAAGGGAGCTGCGGCAAGTCAGTATGTCGATGTTACCGCCAAAGAAGGATGCTACAAGATGCTACCCAACCTCTAAGGAAGCGATATACACAGAAACAGCAAACGCTTGCCATCTGCTGAGCCATTTTTAAATCCTTATCTTTACCAAAGCCTTCACAAAAAAAAGCCCAACCTATGAATACCAAATTGGCTGCGCTGATTAATCCTATCTACAACAAAAGGAGGAGGACAGCCCCAAACTGTTTCTTGGTGGGATTCCCAGGGGATCGGGTTGCCCTCAAGTCACTCTGAAAACAGCAGCCGTGAGCTTTAATGAACACATTGAACCCCAGCTACAACCAAGTGCTGACCTGAGCCGTGCCAGACCCAGGTGGATGGGACCTTCTCGCCCACGGGATGCCACCGCTGTGACCATGTTGGGCTGCTCTGCTCTTCCCTCCTCTCTGCGCTCTGCCCCAAAATGATGAGGTCCATACCCAAACCAAAAATGCCCAGAGAGACAACCTGGGACAGCACAGTTCCCAAAATAATACCACCACCACCACTGCTTTGGGGGAAATACTGCAAAATCTCCATGCTGGATGACCACGGGCTCGCCTCCACACCGCACCCCAGGACTTAACCCCCATAATGAGAAGAGGAACAGCAAGATCCCTTCCTTCCAGCTAAAACCACCTCATGGTTTCTCTCCCGGGCTCCAGGGACAGGGGTGAGGGCTGCACTGGGTGATGGCTACCGGGCTGAAACGCCAGTGTGGAGGTAATCCCACGCTATTTTGGGGCAGGACTCATACACACGAAAACCAATACCATGTTGTCGCTGGAGGCCACTGAGAACCAGATGTTTTACTTTTCTTCTTCTGGACGTCCCCAGCCCGCAGCGGAAAGGAAAAGGGGGCGACGTCTTTTATTTAAGCAGACTCCTTCTACCTCATATATGTAATCAAAACTCCTGAAGGCTTTATATGTTGCTCAAACCAAACAGCAGCAAAAATACAAAGTGTAGTGGTAACACAAAAGGGAGACAAAACAAAGCGAAAGAGGGGGAAAAGAGAACAAACCAAGGAAAGAGCCCCAATCTTGTACCTGATGCGTAGCAAACTGTACAGTATATATACATCTTCGTCATGTATTATCCTCCCAGAAGAGCAAACGAAAAGAACTTGGTAACACAGAGGGAGGAAAACAAAATATACACCCTGTATTGTATTTGCCATGGAGCAAGCGACATATTTATACACTAGTCTCTATAACTTAATGCTGTGTAACAGCATTTTTTTTCTTTTCTTTAAATTTACAAAACAAAATATCTATTGAGAAATAATCTAATCATATTGCTCTTCAATACACTTCTGTAGACAAGTAAGACTTGAAGTTAAACTTCAGTAAACCGCAGCTTTTGGGAGCCCACGAATGGCTACAAAACTTCTCCACTCAAGTCAGTCCTTGGAAGTATTACCATGTGCTGCTGTAATTCAGTATATAAAGGTGCTATATATATATATATATATTTCCCATGTACAGACAACGTGTGGTGGGAAGGCTTGTTGTCGTTGTCGCTGAAGCTTACGAGACGGGTTAACCTCACGTACAGCAGATTTGCTTCCATGTTCCATGCATCTTACATTTACTTCATGAAAATGAGGACACAAATAGGAAGAAAAGGAAAACTTTAGTCAAACACTGCTTTAGAAATGCTGCGGCAGAGGCCATCGTCCTTCAGTTATAGAAACCGCTGAATTTCCCTTTTTATCTTTTCTTTTTTTTTTTAGTCAAAATAAATCTCAGGGCTAGTGTACAAAGTGCAGGGCCGACCCACTTGAGGAGGCGACTTTAAAACCAAGTTACAATGGCACCATCCCGTTCACCAACTGGACCTTCATCTCTTGAAGGCTGTTCATTATCTTCTTCTGGTGACCAACAAGTGTCACTCCCAGCCGCCTCAAATCCCTGTGGGAGAAAGCAGATGTTGGTTCCAGGGACCGCTCAGGCACACGCCACCGCACACACCACGCGCCGCACGCGCCGATGCTGCTGCCAGTGCCTACCTCTTACCACTGGTGGCTCCCAAAGCCAAGTTTAGTCAGCAAGTTTACTTTTCCCTTTTTTTAAAATTTTTTTTAATGGCTGACAGCATCTCAGAGAGGTGACGTGATTTGACTGAGATCACCTTGCTGGCCAAGGAGAAAAGCCAGACAGTGAAGCGTCAGCATCACCTTTGGCCAAGGACTCTGCGAGGCATGAAAAGTCCTATTTCCAAGAGAAAAGCCATGTAAGAAAGCCTGCGTTGCAGTTTCCTCTTCTCCTGGGAGAGGCTGGTATTTGATCTCAGATATGAGCGGTGAGGAGTGATGTCAATCCACGCTTCCTTCCTCTTCAGACTAGGTAAAGCCAAAGATACACAAACCGCAATCCTAGAGACACCTCCTACAGAGAGCTGAATGGCAAAAGCCTCGAGCATGGCCACCACCCCCATGACCCCCTAAAGTTAACAGGAATTGGCAACGCAGTTCCCCTCTGGACCTTTGCAAATCTTCCTGTAAACCCATGTTTGATGGGGTTTTTTGGGTGAATTCTACAAGCCAAAGGCATTTGTGTCGAGTCTGTGTGCTGGTTTCGGCTGGGGGAGAGTTAATTTTCTTCATAGGCGCTAGTATGGGGCTGTGGTTTGGATTTGTGCTGAAAACAGTGTTGATAACACAGGGATGTTTTAGTTACTGCTGAGCAGTGCTGACACACAGTCAAGGCCTTTTCTGCTTCTCACACCACCCCACCAGCGAGCAGGCTGGGGGTGCACAAGAAGTTGGGAGGGGACACAGCCGGGACAGCTGACCCCAACTGACCAAAGGGATATTCCACACCATATGACGTCATGCTCAGCATATAAAGCTGGGGGAAGAAGAAGGAAGGGGGGGATGTTTGGAGTGATGGCGTTTGTCTTCCCAAGTAACCATTACGCGTGATGGAGCCCTGCTTTCCTGGGGATGGCTGAACACCTGCCTGCCCATGGGAAGTAGTGAAGGAATTCCTTGTTTTGCTTTGCTTGCGTGCACAGCTTTTGCTTTACCTATTAAACTGTCTTTATCTCAACCCACGAGTTTTCTCACTTTTATCCTTCCAATTCTCTCCCCCATCCCACCTGGGGGAGTGAGCAAGCAGCTGTGTGGTGCTTAGTTGCCGGCTGGGGTTAAGCCATGACAGTCTGCCTACTGGGCTGCCATTACAGGAAAGCTGTAAAATAAGGTAGTTTATGTGAAATGCAGGATTAGGAGGAAAGATTGTTTTCTCAGAAGCTCAGCTCTCTAAAATTTAGGTGTGTAGATAAAGGTAATCACCAAGGTTCATGCTGATGGCGTGAAAGAGGCACCTCCACAGGACAATTTATCTCATCCAAAGGCAGGAGTGGGACAAGTCGTCCCCTGGAGATACTACAGCAGGACCTTGGGTGATCAGTTTCAATGACACATCTAAAGCCAGGTAAGGCCATGGGTTATGGCAGAGTATAATTGTAGGGATTTCTTTCTAGGGGGAAAAGTGTTAACAAAGAAATTGTAGGAATAAAAGCTCAGAAGAAACATCAAGACAGGTGCATCCGTGTTTCCAACACAAGACAGAGAGACTGTTAGAGAAGCAGTTTGACTTAGAGGAGACATGGTGTTTTGTCTGAAGACTTCCACTACAGAAATACCAGCACCTCGCTTTCTACCTCCAGGCTGGACTGAATAAAGGATGTTTTCAAAGTAGGACTCTACAGTCTTGCCAATACACATGTGAATCCCAGAGCTGCTGACACCCTGTGTGCAAGTCTTTTAGGAGAAAGCTCTCCACTGAAAGCCAGCGGGACGTGGCCTCCTCGAACACGTAGGTGCTTTCTGGAAACCACACTGGTAGGGCTGGTGCGTGCAAGGGCTGGGGATGGCCAGCGACACCCGGGAGCCCAGCCATCACCTGAGACATACTGAAAACCTGGCCTACAGCTCACAGCATGGCTGCATGCTGAATTGCAGGTGAACACATGCAATGACCACCAAAACACTTTCACGTAACGTTGTGTGAGCTACCCATGGAGGTGCACCTCTCTCAGCAGCTTCACGTTCTGGACAGATTCCTGTGCGAATACAACCAACCATCCATGTCCAAAAATTACATAGATGAACATTGCTTTGAATAAAAAGCAATCCTGAGTGAAGGTTGATACGTTAACACATAAGCTGGTTGAAGACAAAAGCTAGATCTGTTGTTCTCCAAGGATTGTCACGCTTTCAGCCTTTTGATTTGGAAAATACCAGATTTTCTGCTCCAGGCTAAACACTTCATTTCATTATCGTACCCTTTTTTGGTGATGCATCTCACCAATGCATAGGGGAAATCACAACGTAAGGGGCACGGAGCAAGGGAGGTCAATGAGACACATCAGCAGCACTCCTTACCTGGCAGAGAAAAGGCTGCAGCATCTGCAAAAGGTGTCTACCTTCTCAGGGGGACAATGCTTTCATTTCTGCCTCCACTGAATTGTGAAACTAGTTCAGCAAGCCATCTTAATAATGAAGGCAAATGTAGTAATGCTATTGTTACATGCAATTTATTTTATGTACACAGCACAGTTGGAAGTTCACACCAAAGATCAAAAAAAAACCCCAAAACCAAGCCAGTATAGGACCTGATTTTAAAAAGAGCCAACATCCATATTCCCCCTGCTCAGTGCTGCTCTGCTGGCACTTTTTGAAAATTCAGCTTTTTTTTTTTTCCCCAGGTATCTAAAGTGCAAGCTGAGCTCATTTGAAAATCCAGCATCACGTATTTCACAGATACATCATTTCTGGTACTCTTGCATGTTATGCAGAAAAAAATAGCCTGAAACTATGAGAAAGGCATGTATATCTTGGCGTTTCACATGCAGCTCCATCAGTCTAATAGAAAGAAAAAAATCTACTCACTACACAGCTTTTTTTTCTTCCCCCTTAACTCAATATCCTTGAGGAGTGCCTCATTGATTTACAAGAGAGAAAGAAGAAAAAGGAGTTTCTGATTTCAATCCATTAGCTGCTCACCAGGGGATCCAGCCTATTTTTTTTGAATATCAAATCCTCTCGAATGTGGAGCCACCGGCCAGAAGCACCGGGACTCCTCAGAGAGGGGAAAAAAAACTACCGTGGGGTCTTTCACCTCCACAAAGACGGACCAGAAGACAACAGCTCCTGAGCCAGATGCTCACCTGGTATAAAATCAGCAGCTTTATTCAAAAGCCACCTCACATGTTGCAAAGCCAGCAACAAAACTTTCCGAAAACAGCCTAGAGAACGCAGGAGCTTTAATTCCCATTTTTCAAGCGTGACTTACAGCATGTTGCATGCTGCTGTGCATCCAGCGCTGAAGGACTTAAAGTGGCGTAAGGCAGACGCCAATTTTAAACAAAATCTGGTCCGCAAACCAGTTGGTTTTGGGACAAAAAACCCCAACTTCTGTGCCAAAGGGCTGCAAAACATCTGTTCTCAAGCTCCAGTCCAGAGCTGCCTGGCTGACGTTACCACAGCAAACTTGTAATTTCACTGGGCTCAGCTCTGCAGAGGAGATGTGTGTGAGTATCTACTGGGGCTTTGCAATAGAAATGTGCAATTCCCTGCAAGAAAAGGCACAGCTAAGACCCAGAGGCAAACAACACTTGCGATCAGGATCCAGGCTGCACCTTGCTGTGCAAATGCCCCAACCCCTGGTGCCGGGTTTTGTGTGCGCCGCTGCGGCAGCAGCATGGGTGCTCCCCAAGGCCATGGAGATACGTGCACCCATGTGCTGTGGGGTCTCCTTACTTCAAAATAGTTGACCCCCGCAGCAACAAGACAACTTTTATTCTTGTTTCAGGGAGAAGTCTCCCCTTTTCACTTCTCTCTCATTCACATAGGGCTGAAAACAGAAACAGGCAGGAATTCAAATCACCTGCTAACACAGTACTAAGAGGCCAACCTAAGTTGACCAAAAAGCCAAGGAAATAAAAGGGAAAATTGGTGTCAGCTCATTGCAAACAACCTGTATACCGCTGCACGCATGCTGCTTTCTTACCACTGCCTTGCACAGAAACCCAGCTGCAACGTGCCAGGGACAACACAGTATCCCCCTTCCCTGCAATATCCTCCATTTGCAAGGGCTGAATTCACGGTCTCCAGGTTGTAAGAAATATATTTAAAACATTTTATTTACAAACAGAACTACTTATACACCATGGACCAGTTTGTCAAACACAGTGTAGACTAGGACTGGATTACCACATAAAATACAATCCCCCTCACCAGACGGTTAGTCATGCAAGCAAAAGGGCCAGGTTCCTGAAAGATCTCCATGGCCAGCAGCTGTCAACCTACCACAGATATTTTGTATTTCGTCTCCCATCCAGGCCAGATTTCACAACTCTTCTTCATGTGGTGTAACTCTACAATTGCCCATGCAGACTGGGACTACTCACAGAGTTAATTAGTTGTCAGTTTGAATGAGGGGAAAGAAGAAGAACCTCAAAGACCTTCAGAAGACGCTAAAGAGAGAGGAATCCACTTGCTAGGGCCTTTTGCATGAAATGAGGACTTAAACAAAATTTCTTTAGGAGTTCATCTGCTCTTATTCATTATTCTCGTCCTACTTGATTACGAGATGAGAATTGGTTTGTTCAGAAGCAGACACAGTATCACAATCTCAGGACTGAGATTTAAGGTTAAGAATAAGCATCTAGAGCAGGTGAACTCTTAAATGCTCTTCATCAAGTATAACTTTTAATAAATAATTTATTTTATTTTAGAAGAAAAAAATATACAATGCAAAGCAACACAGCACATATTATTACAAATATTCAGAGCTCTTCATCTAGTAACAAACAACAGGGTGTCCTGAGATTCAGTGAGTACAGATCTTTCAAAAGGTGGAAGTATGTAGTCCACATGGTTAGTAATTGGTCCAGTCAAGGGTCAGACTGAAACTCATGTCATGGATCTATCTATTCTTGAGTATTGTCCTGGTAAAGTTATTCTTGCAGTGGACTGAAAGAGCTCCAGACACACTCAAAGTCACTAGGTGGTCCACAAGTTTAAAGAGCAGGTCTGGTCCACTGGAAAGGTTGCCTTCAAGTCTGATATCCAGTTGGAAAGAGGGGGTGGAGGGTGAGGCTCCACTTTTCACAAGGTGATTCGTCCCTTTGCAAGAATTAGAGCTAAATGTAGAAATCACTCTTTGTTTGAACACATACATTTTTCAGGTCTTTGCTTAAGCAGGCAGAGCTCAGGACTTGGGGCGATATTCACCAGTTTTAGCTTTTTAATCTTTTGCTTTCAGAAATTTGTCACTAATACTACTCTTATCTGGAATAAATGCATCAAGCCATCAGTTTGAAAGAAGCAGGGCATTTTGCTTTGCGTGCCAGGCGGGAGGGAGTTTAAAAAAAATGCTGAACATGTACCATCTCAACCAGGTCCTGTAAAGAGGCCACAAGCTGGGTGCCTGCAGTCACCAGTCCCATTAGCGTTATGGCCAACCCCTCCTACAGCGCTAGTAATTTTTTTTCAGTAGATTTTAGGAATTCTTTACATGCATCATATTTTTTTTTTCTGCCTTTTCTGGCAGTGATTATCCAGCTCTCCTTTCTCCATCTAATTTCCACATCTGTCTCCTACGCAGTTTGAATTTGGGGAAGCTCATTTTGGACGGTATTTGAAGGCAACCTCTTAAATGGTAAAGAATGTTTTACTGATGTCGTTTGGGGAAAGCAAGGTACTTTCAGATGTTCAGATCATCTTTTCACCTGATCCCCCCAAGTCCCAGCTCTGGAATATACTGAACAGTTGCCTCTATTAAAAATGACAAGGAACATTTAACTTGAATTCTCCTTTGCAGAGTACAAAATGTTTTGTTGTTCCCTTTTACAGGGAGAAAAAAAATGAAAAACTCCAGAAAATCAAAACCCCCAATATATTAACCTTTAAAGAACTTTGCTTGTTCCGGTGTTTATTTTCTGGAGAACCCATGAGAGTCTTAGCTGAGCCCACCCAGGAGCCACTTCTCTCCCTTACTTTGTTGATTTTAAGGGCAATCTGACAGTTTACATCAGCCTGAGCACGTGGTTCAGGTCTTCAACATGGGATACCTTTCCTCTTAAGCCACTATGATGGTTTTTTTAACAGCTGAGAACCTGGTCTTTTGTCTTTTTTCACTTTAACAGAGAGGGATGAGAGAAGTCTTGACTTGGATGGCTGGTTGGCTTTTTAATGAACCTTACACAGTTTTCCCCAAAATAAACCCGAATGGGGTCAAGCATTCTTGCTAAGCCACCACTGCAATGCAAAGATGCACGGGCTGAGCTGTTAAAAGAACCAAGCCCGACTCATGCAGGCATCTCTGTCCGAGGCAGCTGGGGGGGAATTTATTTGCTGGCATGGATAACTAACTAGTTGGAGTTAGTTTCAACCTTTTTTCAGTTTCAACTGAAATGAAAGATGGATTAATGGAATGTCCCCTTTCAGCTTAAAAAAAAACCCCAAACCCAGAAGCTCCCCAGGATCCCAGGCATCAGCTCCTCTGCACTGCTCTGCTGCTGTAAAAGCCCGGAAGAAAGCTGAAGCTGAGCAGCTCAGGCATGTTGTCTCCACTGGGGCCAGTAAAGGACCAGAGTAGGATGACAGTTGTGCTATAGAGAACATACTGGGACCTGGTGGAGGGGGCCTTAGAGGCAGTTTGCAGCTGGTGAGGGTCAGAGCATCTCTGGCAGCTATAATCTTATTTAAAGACTTTTAAACCAACTTGCCTTTCTGGCTAGAACTGTACAGAAAATGGATTTCTTGGTTCATTGCCAATTGGAAAAACCATTTTGAAGTACTTTTTGGGTAGCCTGAAAAGGTTTTGGGGGACATTTTTGAAATTTATGGAATACCAAAGAGTAAATATAGGGAAGTATTTAAATTTTTAAGTCAAGTTAAGGAGATAATGTCACAATCTGAAATGTTGCACTCAGGAAAATGGGAGGTTAGGAATAGTTTTGTCAGTGGGATGGGATGCTAAGACTGTGTCAGCACAGATGGATGCTAAGACTGTTAAAGCTACATGAGTAAGTGAACTTCTAATTTACTGTCAAAAATGAACATTAATTTGGGCTTGAACTCAACATTTTCTCTGACCCAAACCAAAGCATTTCACTTCTGAGCATTTGTTTTAGAGCTCTTGAAATTGCATAAAATTCTAAAGTGGAACAAACTGGAAGCTTTTGTGAAACCTGATTTTCTTCTTTGATATGACTAATTCAGCCAAACAGCAACTAGTCTGTGATATATTTTAGCCAATCTGCATTTTCTACCAAAACTTGCTCTGATTATAAGATTGAGGTGGCACAGTAGAGTGGAATGCTTCAGTGTTTTCCTTTTCTCTTAAATTACTGCCTCATCCTATGCCTCCTCTTCCCACTCACCCTCTGGCTAGGTCTTTCTGCCATGTGGACTCCGACCACCCTGGGGATGGACCTCTTCGTCGGTCAACGTTTGCAGATCACCAGTCTAAATGGAGCCCCGAAGCCTGGTGTTTCTGAGCACTGCTATATCAGATGAGCAGGTAAGGAACCATGGAGTCCTCAAAAGCCAAAGTAACATGGCACATAATTGCAGGACTAGGCTGGGAAGTGGCATGTAAGTCTCAGGCACCCAAAAAAGGATCTAAGTAGAAATCCATGCACCCTGACGTCCTAGACAGTCACTAGAGAGTATTTAATCCCTAGCTTAGGGTTTTCACATGAATGCCTGAAGATAGGCTATATGAGTCTAGGTATAAGGGACAAATATTGGTGATGTGAGTGGAGCAAATAAAATCTGAGTGAGAGCAGATACGCTCCTGCACTCTCTCCATGCAGGTATTGCAAAACTGAACTCCATGGAGATGTTACCAACCTATACCATGTGCAGAGGACCTCCTACCCTGTACAGTGAGCTCCACAGCAAGCCCTGTGGCAGACAGGAGAAATGCTGCGGTTTTGTAGGATGTGGGGATTTTTCTTGTTTTATTCCTAATCCTCAGCACCGATTCTGTATGTGCACTGGCAATCTGCATGTTGCTGGAAGAGCCGCGACCTTCTCCAAAGCAGCACGGAGCACAATCCTTCCCGTTCTGCCTTAACGCCTGCAGTAAACTAAGCTCAAATTAACCCAGCTAGAAAGGCAGGCTTTGGGGTGAGTTTCAGTAAGCGGCAGGAGAAAAGTACAGACATAATTACACAAGCAAGGCAACCAATTAAAGGTGGAACATAACAAATCAGCAGCCCCGAGGCATTTACCGAGTCATTTGAGTGCTGCCACCCCAACTGCAGTCATACCCATGTGCAAAAACCAAGGGCACATTCAGAAGGAAGAGTCTCAGCCAGGGAGCCTGTTGCCTAGAGCTGTGGGTTTGCTGATGCTCTTCTGTTGGCATTGGCTTTATCTATGCTTATTTCTGTTAATGTTGAATACTATTTCCGCTCCTTACTGGGCTTGACTGTCCACTTGGTTATGTCCAGATCAACTGAAACCAGCTAAGCTGGTGTAAAGCCAGTATACCTCAGTGGGGACTCTAACTCCTATACATTTACTAGTAGGGTGGGATTTTTTTATTTGTCGATAACCCCAAATAATCAACTGCTATTATGTCGAGAGGACAGCCTGGCAATTATTCAAACTCAAGCATTAATTTCTGTGAGTAAAGGAGCCAAAGTACCGGCTGCCAATGTAGTGACCGTAAGTTTTAGTCTTGTCTGCGCTTCTCATCATCAATACAGATACTAGAAGAGAAACTGCTGACTGCAAACAAAGGGTAATGGTTTCCCTTTCTGCAGCCCCATCCCTACATATTTTTGAATGGTTTGTCTTCCCCGCCTCTGCAGTTCCAACAAATGAGGTGAAAACGATCTGGGCACTACTCACTCTAGGGTCACCTGAGCCACAGCATCCATCGAACTGTATCCGTTCTCCATGAAGATCTCCGTGTATCGGCCCATTTTGATGGCTTCCAGCCACTCACCCACCGACCTGTAGGCACCGCTCCCAACTGGACTGTGCTCTACCAACAGATTTGATACTCTAAAGACAAGCAAAAACAGAGAAGCAAACAGAATCAGTATTGAGATGTACCCAACGTGACTCAGTTGCTCAGATTTTTGTACAGTAAAGACGATTCTTTCGTTGCATTTTCAGTGATTGCTGCAGCCTAAATCCTCCCAGCAGGCTTGATATGCAATGTATCAAACATACCACTTCACCCATAACTTCATTCACTTTTGAGTTAGTTCCTGCCATTTCTGGTCCTCACTGAAAGCAGAAAGAGGAGAGGACTAGCATTCATCCCTGTCACCTCTCGCCCACAAGCAGGCTCCTCTTCTATCAGGCTCCCTCAGTCACTCTTACTTCAAAGTCCTCAGTTTCACTCCTCCCGCTCTGTTTTTCTCCTCCTCCTTTAAAGCTCATAATTAACTTAAGACAGCCCAGAGCCTGGAAGCTGAAACCCACATTACATTTCCCAGCAGTGGCCATCAATGGCAGGCTGCTGTTAACACTTCAGGGGCTGCTCCCGCAGAGTCGGGTGGGGATTTCGGCTGCGGGCAGCATCTGACGAGCCCTGCAGAGAGCAGCAATGCTCCAACCACACTCCAGCCCTGAAACCAGAGGTAGACTCCTGCTCCCGCATCCTCGCTTAAGACCTCACTGCGGCAATTGCTACCTTCTCGGTTATGCCACGTGCGGAAGAAGTAATTCAGGCAAATAATAACCCTCCACCATGGCAGAAACACCGATACAGTACCTGGCACAAGCGACCTGTGCTGCGTACAGGTCCACCACCCTTCTAACGGTGCGCAGAGAGCAAAGGGGGCTTGTCCAAGGTCAGCCAGGAAAGAAACTAGATTTGTTCCCTGCTTTGTAAACCAGGACATACAGCTAACATAAGCCATGCATAAAGATTATTACCCACAGCTAAAAAAAACGTTTCCTGGGTCAGCCTCTGACGGTGAGAATTACACTTAAAAGACTTTCAACTGGAAGGAGAGCTGGGATATTATATTATTATAGCACTTCAGGAATCTTCATATATTTTATGAGCACATTAGTATTTTTTGTTTATTTAATAGCAATGCTGAAGGGTCCAATAAAATGTGAATACTTGCAGTACCAAGAACATAATGGCTTCCCATAACATTTTATACACATGAGGAATTCAAAACTCCTAAGTAATCATAACGAGAAGTGGATTTTCATCACTAATGTCAGGAGGTATCTACTGATATGTGCACACTGTAATGTAGCGAGTGACTTCCTCCCTTATTTGCATTAATGAGAATTTCCATAAAGAATACATTACATATATAAAAAAATCCTTTACAGCTGCTGTATGTTGAAATTATGATCCATTTGGAATTACTATGGTCTGGGCACGGCAATCTATGATTATAGAAACACAGTCCCAAAGCCTGGCTGTTCAGGTGCTCCATCCACATTGAAAATACCCACAGCAGCTCTGAAAAGGAGAGCTTTGGAATTGCATGGACCTGTTCATGGAATAAAACTCAGCAAAGTGCTTAGCAGCTCAAGGAAATGGTTTGCTGCCTATTTTCCTCTTTTCTGGCATAACAGTTTGGTATAAAAGAGTGCATGAACCACCGCGTAACAGGTCTGGAAAGTGACTGTTCTGAACTGAAAATAAAAGAGAAACATCACATTTTATGCTATCATAAACTTTTTCTTGCAGGTTTGCTGGGACTGACGTTACATCTAATTGCTAATAAGAGTAATTTCTTCTTCAGATGGTAAATGATGCATGTAAAATAGCCCGAGGAATCAGATCTATCTTGTATTTAAAAATTAACAGAGATTTCATGTTTCTTCTCTTCCAGTGCATGAGATGCCATGCACGCAGACATGCCAGCACAGGGATGTGAGGTCCAGCTGCAATAGGTGAGATGAACCACATGCAGCTTTGCAAGACTCACTTGGAAGGTGTGGAGATGGATGGGTCTAAGCTCACAACAGTACATCTGCTTTGGTCCACACCACCAGTCTAACCTCATCTTACATCCTCTCATTCCTGTCCAAGGAAAACGACATGTCTTTTTTTTTCCTCCTCTGAGAATAAGCTTTTCTGAAAGGCCTCTTCCAGTGTTAATCAGAGGAACTCCACTGCCATCTGTGAAACAGCGACGATTTATATTCATCACTCCTTCATGACCTTGCAAGGGACTGAGTGATTAGCAACACAGATGGCTCAGAAGTAATACTTGTGGGCTTACAGTGAAAAAAGAGAAAGTGTATCCAAGACTCCAGTATGATGGAGACCCCAATACTAAAACTCACTAAAAAATATTAATCTCTCTTTCCCCAAGTGCAGCTTTATTTCTTGACCGTATTTACCTTACTTGTAGCCGTGTAGCTATTCAGATTCATGTTTAATTGCACGCCAGCTGCTCTATTCACTTAATGTGGTTTTAGCAAGTGGTTTGTGTACAGCTCTTTGGGAACCACAGAGATCCTCTTGCGATTACCAAGACTGTCAGAACTGGCAGTGGCAGCTAGCACACCTGGGAACAGTTGTGGGAGGTTGCACTTGGACATTCATGAGCTTTGCACATCCTAAGAGTTTCCCCAAGAGACGTTATTCATTTGTATTACCAAGATAAAGTCAGCAGGCAGATAATTTGAGCAGCATTTACTATCTATTTCATGCACTCAAAGTCTTGCACTCTCTAACCTTGGGGTAGAGCACAGGTAGCTTTATCATAGACCTATAAATACCACTGAAACTTCCGTTTCTGAAAGACAGGCCACAGTAATTTTCTTTGTGGCAGCAGTACTGCATTTATAGAGTAAGTGAATTGCTCACCTGCCTGCCAATTTCAACAGAAAAAGTTGATTTGGGAAAACTCCCCTGGACATAATGAAGCTGGAGGAACATCCACCCGCGGATGCGCGCAGGCTAAATAATAAGTGGTAATTCAACCCCAGGGGCATGTATTCAGACAAGGATCTCGCCCTGAGAAATGGCTCTGGCCCGAGTTTGTACCTGCTCGATGCATTAACCAATGTCTTCAAGCTGCTTGGGTTACGGATGAGCTTGTCCAACATGCTGACAATTTCGTCAAACTTGGGCCTGCTGTTGCGGTCTTTCTGCCAGCAGTCGAGCATTAGTTGGTAGAGAGCAGCAGGGCAGTCCATGGGACTTGGCAGGCGATAGCCTTCCTCCACGGCTTTAATCACCTACGGGAGACAAAACACAAGTCTGATGGGTTACTTTTCTTCCTCTCGCCTTTTTCTCAAATGCAAATTGACTTAAACAGAGAACTTTGGGACCAGCAATATGCTCACGTAAAATCCCACCGCCCCCCAACTCTGCACACAAGAGGCAAACCCAGTAAGCCCCACTATCTTTCATATTTTCTATGGGATGGGTTGAATAACTTAATTTTTGGTCACTGCAAAATGAATCTAGAAAGCCAAGGCACTGCTGCAACCAGGGGGCCAGATTGCTAGGTTGCACTTGTTCAAAGCTCAGCTGAGGTCTGTACGTTATATACCAGGAAACTCCTGGAGCCTACCCTAAGTCCATGAAAAGCAGCCTACGGGGCTTTCTGGCATCTTCTTGGAGTGCAGTGATTTTGTTTATTCAGATGTTGGCTTCTTTTTAAATGAAAAGGCATGTGCTAGACCGCAAATTTGTATTACAGTAATAAAAGTCTGACTGTATTTCAAAAGAGACTTTGAATGCTAATTGATGGATGGATTCAAGGCAGAGGCAGAACAACCATCTCATATATCATTCAGTACTGTCTGGGTCTAGTCATTTCTTAGTGTGGCCACATCTCTGCCAGGAATTTAAAATGTCAGCCCAAGAGTATGTAAATTAAAACCAGGGGAGGGTTGTTGCACTGATTTCAAATACAAACCATCTATGGTTCTATATCTAAAACAAGTGGTATGCACATGTGCTGCCTGCCCTCTTGAAAGGCAGAAATTAATAAATGAGGGCAGAATTGAAGAAAGCAACTTATTTTCCCCAGTTTGGGGCAGATTTACGGCAGGGCTGCAAGCCCAGCAGTTCCCATTTTGAACCACTACAATTTTCAGGAGAACGCAGCTCACGTTTCAAGCCACAAGGGTCTGTGACTGCGCCAAGAGAGTCCCGGTGGCCCATCTTCACACCCTCTACTCCCAAGACTCCTTGACCAAAAGGAGCTGGAAGCAGCTATTTGCTATGAGGAAAACCACAGCACTTCACTGTTGGACTCCAAGGACTGCCTCAGATGCCATTCATTCTAGGCACCGACTCATGATTTGAAAACATCCTGAGCTTAAAAAGAAGGCTCTATGGTTAGCATGAAGTTGTTTTCTTGATCTTTAGTCCCTATACAAGCAGTACAGGATGAGCCACGTCAGGCTGGCATTGCATTTCAGAAGGCTCCGAAATTCAGGACCACATGCATCGCTTTCAAATTGTCCTCTACCACAGGGCTTTTTGCCAAGTGGAAAAGTCCCAGGAATGAGCTGGGCTGGCTGAGCAGCAGTAGCGGGAGCCTCAGACTCCCTAAGGATGTACATAGTAGAGAAGAAGTTAGGCAAGGCTTTGTAATCTTCTCCAAGGGTAGCGAGCACGTCTGAAGATCTGTCCCACAAGATCTGCAGTCCTTTTGTGCCCATCTAAGACTTCATCTGTCAGTGGAGCAGTTGCACTGCTCTCCACCCAACCTGCACTTGCAAAGCAATCTCTTCTATGGCCTGGCTTTTGCTCGCAGCATCAAAAACCAGCCCCACCACATTATGCTATCTGCATTGTCTGTTCTTCACATCATGCTTTTCAGCTGGTCCCCGATACCAAATTTGCAGCTGCCCTATAAAAAAAGCCTCAGTGTGGCACAGCTACAAGAATGTTATTTGCTGTGTCCACGTCTGTATCTATAACAATAACGGATCATCCTCCAGCTGTAGCAGAAAGAAAATAGTAGCAAGTCGGGGAGCAGACCATCTGGCACCAGCTTAGAATATCTGAACTACATCTGCAATGGGGTTACGCATGTTTGATATTCCTGGCAGTAACATCACAATCAATAGCGTTAACTCAATTTACAGGATGTCGTTCGTTCTGGCGATACAATGTAAATGGTATCAAAATACTGTGAGAAGCTAGGATGCTGAAATACACTCTTGCATCTGAAGGTGCCTTGGGGGTCTGGCAATAAGAGGAGCAAAAGAATGAAACAAGAAAGACTGAGTCACTTGTAGCCACCACAATACTTAGAAAATAAGAAAATGGCACATTTGCTGTTCCATTCATCGGTGCATACTGCTTTGTAAGACTTGAAGAGCTAAAATTTGCACCTATAAGGAGGCATTTTTGTCCCTGTTCCTCTTCTGGACAAGCACTACTCACTTATGGATTGAGGCAACTGAACCAGATGTTAGGCAGAGGACAATTTGGGATAGTCTATTCCAGTACACCAAAGCAACACTTTTAGCTCTGTGTTTTCATAAAACCACCAGTCTGAAGACTAAAAAGGAACCACTGTGATCATTTAGCTTAGCAACCTGTGTAACACAGGCCACAAAATTCCTCTCAACAATTCCTGCATCAAAGCCTTATCTTGTGGTCAAGTCAAAGCATATTTTTAGAAGGCCATCCAGAAACCAGCACGACTAAAATGTGGTTTGTAGCCTTTGCAGTTACAACGCTGCCTGCCCTATGGCACTGCACCTCCTTTAAAGCAATCCAGCTGTAACATGGTGAGAATCGTTTTGCTCATCACCGACTGTGCTTGCAAACGACGTGCTTTAATTACAAGCCACGCAACAAGAAACTCTTGTGCAATGGAGTCCAAAATTCATGTGAGCAGAGGCCCCTGGTCCTCCACATGAAAACCAATGCGGTATCTAACACCACTGATTCTTCCGCCAACGCAAGCAGGGGAGGAAAAGAAGAGGAGGTCTTCAGAAGATGAAGGATAAAGGCATAAATTGCATGAGAACCATGCCACAGCACTGAATTAAGTTTCCCAGGCTACCACTATCCAGGCACTTGCCACCTGCACAGAGGTAACCCAAGCAAAGCCTGAGCAGGAACTGATGCTCATAAACATCTCACCAGTCCTCTGCTTTCTGCTGCTAAAAGAAACCAGTCCCCCATCTGCTTCTTCTCAGGCAAGTGTGAAATTCACTCTGTGCCCCACAGCGCACGGAGGCATTTGGGCTTTTCGGAACAGTTCTGCAAAGTGTGAATGTTCATAGTGTTACGATCCAGACAAGGGACTCCCCTGGCCACGGAGCGTTATTTCACTGGCACCAGCCTGAATCTTAGCCTGGCATTTACTGAACAACATCTGTGCTATGTCAGTGCATCAGCAATAAAGACAGTTACAGTGCTCAGTGTGACCGAAAAAGCTTGGCTCTCAATTGCTACATTCTCTGCACAGGCTATGGAGGAAAGTCTCTGTATTTGATTGAGATAAATCCCTGTGTAGATACATGCTGCTTTACCAAACTCCCTGCAAACATGACAGCCTCAGCAATGCAGAAGCGGTGGGGCATTCATGCCAAACAACGCGCTCGTCTCCTTGGCAAGAATCATGGCGTGACTGTCTCAAAGGTACCGCTCGTTTCCGCGCCTGGACTCAAAGCAAGATGAGACAGCAGCTCGGCATGACAGGTAGTAACATCCACTGATGGCAAAGGCCCGCAGACAAAACACAGGAGAAGCAGAGGCTCTACCTTTGCTGCCAGCAAAACGGCAGAAAGTCACGGGGACAGGCATACTGCTCAAAAAAGAAAAAAGGATGAAACATCAGGTGTTGTGACCAGAGGAAACCCATGGCAGAGCAAGGACTTGCTTTGCCCAGCCAGCAGCAGCATCTTCGCAGGCAGCAGGGCTGCAGAGATGAAGTGGGAGGGATGAGGAACGACTCTGTTTGCCACACACAGAGTGGTGCATTTCCCCCCCCAACGCAGAGCTGCTTTGGGATCCCCACATGCCTCATGGTGACCCCGACCTCATGCACTAGCTGGCATCCTCACAGACCTCCACATGTCATGGTTCTCAGAGATGCAAAGAGGAAAGAGGGGCCTAGAAAATTTGGCAACCCCAGGCTTAAATTTTTTTAGCCTTAGACGAGGACAGATGTTTATGGTGAGCTCAGGGTAGGAGGTACCTTACACAGGCTGGGGTCAGAGCTGCAGTCAGGAGGGGGACAGTGTCCCCAGGCATCTCCCTGTTTGGAGATGCTTCAGAGGGTGGCCTTGAGGACAGAGGCTCAAGGGGGCACTGGGGCCCAGGAGCAAGGGGACACAACTCAAAGGGTGCTGTACAAACAAACCGTGAGAGCTTGTGTTAGCACAGACTTACAAGATGTTCACAACAGGAGCAAAACTATGCTCTCGAGATCAGCAATGCAAGGGCAACCGAGACGTAGCTCTCTGGACTGCTGTCACTAGATCAAATCACCAGCTTTTGTGCAGGGAAACAAAGCCCTTACCATGACTCTCTTGAGTGCTGCTTTACATGGCAGCAGGGGTTTGAACACACAATTGAAATGCTGCCAGTTTATCAGCATCTATCCCCTGGCAGACCTTTGTCATTAAGCAGAGGAGGGACAGGCTCCAGCTCTAACAGCATTAGTGAAGCTCCAGCGGTCTGCTGGGGGAAGCAGGCTTGCTTCTGTGCAGATGCATTTCCCTCTGCGCACAGACTGTTCTGGGCTGCTGTTGCAAAAAAAGAGCATCAAACGAGAGGATCATTTTTGTCTGACATGGGGGAGCAAAGCCATTTTTACAGCAGCTCTCCTCCTCTTGTCCCCATCCTGTCTTTCTGATTGCAGAATGAACACCGAGCCCTCAAACTCCCATCATGCGGCAGCTCTCACACGTGCTTACATCTTGGTTTGTCATTTCCCAGTAAGGCCTCTCGCCGTAGGACATCACCTCCCACATCACGATGCCGTAGCTCCAGACGTCGCTGGCCGATGTGAATTTGCGGAAGGCGATTGCTTCGGGTGCTGTCCATCGGATGGGAATCTTCCCTCCCTAGAAGGAAAAGAAAAGGAAAAAAAAACCCAAAAACCATATTGCAGAGGAGGGCAGAGAACATGCAAAAGAGGACGAAACAGCACTTCTTAGAGCACCAAGGGATATTATTTTCTCTCTGGAAAGAGACATCGAATTTTAAAGTAAATCTGTTTGACAGCATGGGGCCCCTTTCCACATTATCTCAGCCCATAAGCATTTGTAGGCTGCCTACTAATTGGCTGTCCTGAAGGTTTGTTGTTTGAATGCTGGGACATGTATAGGATCAACATCTCAATTATGTTGCATGGGTTGGTAGGGGAATACAGTTCCTCCGTTTCTGAGAGCGAGCGGGGGAGGAACAGACAGCTCTGAAGCTGAGGAAGACTTTGATCTAACGAGGGCTTCATGCAAATTGCTGTGGAAGTAATGCCCTTTTTTTCTTTCCTTTTTTATTTTTTTAATGTGGTCCCGATCCTGCAGAGATCTGCATAGCGGGCACAGAAATCTGTGTGTGCAAAGATCAGTCTGCTTGGCCTCTGCTGTGGGACTGAAAATGATGCCACAGCTGTCAAATGTGCTTTGCTGTTTGCTTTTCCCCTTTCTACCATTTTAGAAATCAAACTTCAATTCAGCTCTGAGAAGAAGGGAGGGAAAGGGGAGTCTGGATTAAGGAATACTTTTCTCATTGGGTTTAAAGAGTTGTCTCCCCTGATTTATACCAAAATATATTTTACTGTGAAGTCCCTTCCTCTCAGCGTTGAGCTAAATATTGGAAGGTCTCCCTGAATGCCCCCTAACAGTGTTTGTTATTGGAAAAAGGTAGAATTTGGAACACATTTTCAAAGCAAATTTTGAAAAGTCCCTTCTTCCAGTAATTATTTATTCACCGGCTTATCAGCGCATGCCTTAAGTGAGGGGCCAGATTCTCAGCAGTGCCAATTAGCACATGGCAGCACATTGCAGCCGCAGCAGGGCTGGCTGAGAGCCCTCCACCCTGCTGGGAGGCTCCGGTCCAGCCGTGCACTGAGCCCCGTCACGGGGCTGTGACTGCCAAGAGCTGAAAGGCCTTTCCCAGATCTCCGCGGGAACTGGGAACACGAACCAGAGAGCTCCCACCACCTGTAAAACAATACCCCTGGAAAAACATGCTAACAGGACATGCCCAGGCATGCCAATCGCTGCCACGAACATTGGAGGCTCTCTGCAAGCCTGTGCTGCTGAGGATGGGTCCTGTCCACCCCCTCTCTGCAGCGCTGGGGCCACGTGGCCTCCCACTGGGATGGGTGGGCTGATGCCCTAAAAGGATGGATCAAGGATGGAAAGAGGCAGAGCACTGAGGCTGGAGCAGCTCTTTCTCAGGTTGGGGGAAATTGCCCTCAACAGGGTAACGTTGAGGGTGATGTGCATCATTTGCAAAGGGCATTACATGCTTACCAATGTTTTAAAAGGGTCAAATTGTCCAGAAGACCATGGCTTACAACTCTGCATGGGTGCCTAACCAAAGCACTTGCTCTTGCTCTTTCCTCCCTTTGGTATTCACCAAAAAGGACAGAATAGAGCTGGGAGCGCGGCACCTTTGCAAAGTTGGCTATTTGACTCTGGTGCCCAACATGAACTTAAAAGTTATTAGTTCTGCCTTATTTGGCCATCCCCACTACAAAGTTACAGGCATTTGCAAAACGAATCTGATAATGATTAACTGGTAACACCTGGCCAAACCCTCATGCACAGTTTAGAGGCTCTGGATTTGTAGAAACCTCTTTGCCAAAGAGCCTGAACACCAAAATGTGGCATGGAATACATTTTTCTTGAGCTCAATCAGTTGGGTATCCTCATAACTCACCCTGGTTGTGTACGCTGCTTCGGGGTCATCTTCCAGGACTCTGGAAAGGCCGAAGTCTGACACCTTGCAGACTAAGTTGCTGTTGATTAAGATATTCCTGGCAGCCAGATCTCTGTGTACATAACCCATGTCAGACAGGTACTTCATTCCTGACGCAATGCCTCGCAGCATCCCGACCAGCTGAATGACCGTGAACTGCCCATCGTTCTTCTGCAAAAGGAAGGAGACATTTGATCAGTTGAGAGTCTCTGCACCCTCAGCATTGCGTGGGCATGAATAAAAATGCAAAGGCAAGTCTTCAGGGAAGAAAAACAGGGAAATTAATAATTCATTACTCTAATGCTCTGACCACGAAGCTTTTCAAAGTTTCACTGTTTGGATTAGGATCTCTAGAGACAAAGCTAAAGAAATGTAGTTCTTTTAACTGGAGATCAAGGACCGAGCTATTTCCACCGGTGACTGATAAAGAGACTGCGACTGGGAGCAAACACATGTAGTTATGTGTATAAAGGCACCGTGGCGGCCTGTCTCCAAGTCAGCCAACTGGATGGTACCAAGTTGCATGGAAATCCTACCTGCAGAGGTCCATGTGTGAATATTTGGGGGTAGGGGCTCTTCCCCATGTTGCCACACTGCATTTCTAACCACGTCCCCTATCCTCCCTTCTCTAGCTCTTATGTTTCATGGAAGAACTCTGACAAGTCTGGGGTTTGCCATGATGCAGTGTGGATGTGCTCTTGAAACATCAAATTTTGCAGGATAAGTTAATCATTTCCATGCAGCAGACTGCCTTCTAAAATAAACATAATATCCTCCAATTTATTCTTATCTGTTTGTATCAATGCACGAACCAGGTCCTTCATGATGCTGTATAAATATAGATCAAACAGCCAACTGAGCTACTCCTGCCTCCAGAGAGCATCAACCCAGCAAACGTTTTCATTGATATTAACCATCTGCAAAGAACCCATACTTTAACCAAGGTCCCCCTGGAAAAAGGATCTAAGTATTACCTTTAAAAATGTATCCAGAGAACCGTTCTCCATGTATTCAGTCACTATCATTACTGGTTTGCCTGGAAAAAAAAGTGCACAAGTTTGTTAGCAATTTATTTAAAAAACATGAACAATAATAAAGTCTTTTCATAATGCGTCTGAATGTGAATATACAGCCATGCAACAGTAAATCTACACCAAGACACTGCTGTCCCAGCAGGATGACAATAGTTTTTGCCAGAATATATGCAGAAATAGGGCAATCAAGGAGGAGGGGATGAAAACGTAATCCCGTTGTTATGGGTGGGGTACCAAGCCCTAGAGTGTTTAGATGATGTTTGAGGAAGAGGTTGCAAGGTGAACCCAGGCAACCTATGCACAACTTTCTCCTCGTCTCCGTGAAAAAGCTGAAAGCTTGCAGAGGCCAAATTGCACACAGTGACCTCTTTGGACTCTTCCCTATAGCTTCAACACCCTGAATTAGCAATGGGAGCCCAAGAGGAGCAACCAGGATGATCTGAAGTATCTATCTGAGCTTGGTAGCCACCAAAACCAAGACCAGGAAAAGATGGGATTACATCCCTTGTAATTCAAGTAATCCCATGTGACTACCCTTGTAAACACATCTGGAAGTAAGAAAAGGAATATTTATGCTGCAGAACAAAAGCAAGTTAAGTATGGAATGAGTGCTAGTGGAAATCAAAATAAAAGTTCTTAACAAAAGACCTGGTCTCCTATTGTTGACAGGAGTAATAATGTTTTTCCAAATCCATTTGATTAATTTTCATGCCCGAGTCATTTTAATGGTAATTATATATAGGTTTTGCTCAGTTTTTATATCTAATTTCTCGCCAGCTTGCCACAATGACATAGCAATAATTAACGTGATGTGCTCCAGCCCTTGTAAATTCAATGAAATCTTATAAGAACATGTAAATTATTTTTTAGTTAAATCAATTTCCATTAGCTAGCATGAAGCACAGGCAAAGAGGAGCTGTCAATTATTTGTAAAGAGCATTATAAATGTCTTTCATAGAAAAGATCAACGAAAGCTGCTGCATGTCATAACATGCGCATGAAGGTAAATGCTCCTAAGAATTGGTGCATGTTCTACCATTTAGATTGATCTTAATCTTCCCGCTTTCCCATTACCTTAACTATTTGCCTAATTTACTGCTTAATTATCTACATAATAAAGGTAATTGTGAACTTGTCAATCAAAACACTCATTGTTGTGCAGATACTACCTTTGTAGCATGAGGGACCTGCGCTGCTTCAATTCTTTTAAGTTAATATCACAGCTACTGCCTGAGCTTGAAGCTTGCCAAAAGTATTACTTTTGATATGATAAATGCACCTCGGGGCCATGAAAAATATCGTTGAGTCCCAAACAAAATAATGGGCCCCATCTTCAAGGATAAATCATCTGTCTACGCACAACATGGGCTGCGTGCAGGAGGGAGGAGAGATCTCAGGTGATGTTGCTACAGGTTGGCAAACACGTCAGTGGCTATGCAGGGAAGGAAAATCCCAGGTATATCTCAATTTTTTTTTTAATTTTTTTTTTCTTTTTAAACACTAAACCCCCGGGTCCCTTATCTCTGACACTTCAAAGCAGCGTGGGAGCGAGACTGGCATCTTGTTACGCCACCACCCTGGGGGGCCTCCTTCAGACTCCTGCCTTTGGTTGCCATTAGAGAAAAGAACATAAGATTTCTGGCACTTATGTTTCATTATCTGACTGCTGCAAGTTGACAGTAATCGTGGAATAAATTAGCCCCATAACCAAGAGCATGGAAATAAAGACACAAATAGAGTAACTTTCAACAAAGTAAATTAAAAGTAAACATTGGCCCTTCTAAAGCGCTGGGCTGATTCTCTGTGTCAGCAGGGCTCCCTCCCGCTGGCATTATGGGGCCATAAAATGTGTGTCGATGCCATTCGTATCAATGTACTAATGCAACATGCACACTGTCAGTGCAACCAAACGGGATGCGAATGAAAACAGGACCGTCATTACCTTTGTAAAGCAGAAATAGCTAAGGGCTTGTCTGCACAGGGACAATGAAGACGATTAATCCAAATTAACTAAGGTGTGCATTTGAACTAGATTAGTTAAATGGTATTAAGCCCCTGCACAGATATTCTCATTCAGAATTAAAAATGGCCTAATTCAATTTAACTTAATTTACTTCCAAAGTAAATCATGATGCAGCGAAGACATTTTACCCTAAAGATCTGAATCTACAATACGCCAATGACTAAAACACTGAAGGGGAAAAAGAAGTTAAACAATACTTTGAGGTAGCAGCATAGTTTTGGATTCATAAAGGTTGTTTTGGTCTATTTAAAAGAAAAGAAAAAAGCTGGGAAGATGCTCCAGATGCCCAATGGAAAAAACTTTGAGTGCAGTAAACAAGCATTTACTGAGCTAATGAGGAGCTCAGGGTGTACATACCCGCCTGCATCCAAACTCCAGTTGCTCCAAGTCTAATTTAGAAGGAAAGCTCCCAGTGTTTCCACAGCCTTTAGAGCTGACGGCCACTTTATATAAAAGGCAGCTCTATAGGGAGGCCCATCCTCTCTAAAAGTGGGATTCCCACCCCCCGCCCCGAGGCCCCAGCAGCCAGAAAGACTCAAGCCCGTGTCAGCAGCAGCTTTGATGTGTGTATAATCGTCACTCGCTTCCTGCCCAATATCCCACACCCCTGCAGGGCTAGAAATGGGAGCTTTTATGTATTAAGGGCTACACAAGGTGACCCCGAGAGATTTTGGTATTTATTCAATTTTGGGGAGAAACCTATCTTGGTTATTTTTTTTCTTTTCTTAAAAGTTTTAGGAAATGCAATTTCAAGGAAAAATGCAAGAAAAGGCTGTTGATTGCAAAATAGCATTGATTTTGAGTAGGTTATAAGGATCTGAATAGGACAAACAGCGTCTCTGTACCTTCTCTATTGCAGCTCTGAAAAAGAACTACTTTTGGAGACACTGCCTCTGATGAATGACAAATGGTACTAACAGCAGCCACATGGCCCCAAGCACCGGCATTTGAACGGTAGTAGCTAAGCTCTGACATTACCAATCACGAAGACAAGAGGGGAGACAGCCATTCACACTTGCAAGGCTGGTGCTTCTTCAGCTAGCAAAAACTTCCCAAAACACAGAATATATCTTAAAATAAAGGAGTAGTTGTTTTCAACAAAAAAATCCTTGATGCAAATAACGTAGATCCTCCAAGGCTTTAAAATGGAAGAGTAAAAACAACTCTGCACCTTTCCCACAGCCTCAGCACAGCACCAACAGCCAGAGGGGCATGGGCTGGGCACATTCGGATGTGCCGTCCCTTCCTCTGCCCTTATCTTTAGTGCATACAGTAATGTGGAGAAGAACTGGGCTGGGAAAGTTATGGAAGGTTATTTTGCTAACTGGGCAGTCAGACCTCAGTAACTCTTGTGCTGGGATGTTTTGCCAGCCATGTCACATTTTCCCCAAGCCCTCAACCCCTCTCATAATCTATATGCCAGCACTAGGGGCAACTATTACCATGGGCATCACTAGCAGATCCCAGAGGGAGCTTGCCTTAATCATGGTTTTACACAGTCCTGTTGTCTTCAGCTACACTCCTGTTCTTCTTCCCTGCTTCTGGAAAGCAAAACTTCAGCTAACTTGTGTCTTTGCTCACATCCCGTGTGAATGATCACAAGGCTCAGCACTACCCTCCTGTGGGCTTTGCTTCACTGGTTTCTCAAAATAAGGTGGCTGGAAATCATCAGGGATTGCGGTGTTCCGCCCCCCCCCCCCCCGAGAACTAAGT